AATGATCCGCTTAAACAAAGCAACCAACCATTAACCTCCCCCCCCCCCTAAAAAAAATAGAAAAACAAAATGCACGCGCTCGAATGCCATACACAATCAGCTAATAACTAAGGCCGGACAAGCGATAAAGTAGAAGGAGAAGACAGCACGCGTTGATGAAATCAGCGCGGCTGCCCTGGAGGTAGTCGGCAAGGGTCCGGCCGCACCGAGCGATCGGAAAAATAAGAGAACCAGAAAAACAAGCCGTCCGACTAGCTAAAACATCTACACCATGGTCAAAGGGCACCCTCAGGACCGTGCAGGCGTGGCCCATGCGCCGCGCCTGATCGCGACGCGGGACAGGGAGGGCCATGACAAGCCGCTGCGCCTCCACGTGGCCGGCTCCAACGGCAAAAATCCAGATAGGCCCGGCGCGGGCTGACGAGCGAACCGTCGCGCCGAAGCGCGCGTCATGGGCCTCGGACGCCATGCCCACCCGCACCGGGTGTGGTGCCTGTCAACGCCTGGCCGAATCACTTCCAGCCTCGCCTTCACGCTGAACCATGTAAAACGCAGACTGTCACCTGTATTTACAAGATAATCGCTAAGACAGAGGCGAGCTACGTGACACGCTACGCTCCCCCTCCCCTCTTTAATTATGGGAGCATGCCCGAGTCACCTTGCCCGGCCGTAATGGCCGCATAGCCAGCACCCGCCCCCCCCCCTCTTGCCTAACTTCACGGGAGGAAACAGGTGGCGGTGGCCCGCACCTGCCCGGTGGGTAGGGGTCAAGGGACACGAAAGCGCCAGCCGTCTATGACCCGATAAGGATAGGGACAACAACGTGAGAGTTCACATCGCGTGCGTTGTCGTCAGCGTCGCGTCGTCCGCAGGGCCAGATGCCGCCGCCAGGTCGTCGCCGCCGCTTCTCCTCAGCGCCCCCTCGGGACCCTCGAAAGACCCCTGCGCTTTCCGCGGACTCTCCACCTTGATTTCCCGTGAGAGACTCCTCGCAGACTCCTTACACCATCCATAATTGTCCGTGATTCTTCCAAATGGGTCGCCCCGCCTTCGCTTTAGCGCATGAATCAATAGATCTGCCGCCCGACCCTCTCCGTCCAATGTGTCGCCGGACTGGCTTAGGCTGCTTCCAGAGTTCGGCCTCCCACGTGCCCCTGGGCCAGATCTCGGGCGTGGTGTCGCTGGCGACGACGCAAGACCCGCCCGCTCTCGCCTCGGGCGGGCCCTGCGCGCCCCTCTCTGGCCCAGTTCCCACGTGGCGTGGCGGTTCTGATGCCAGGTGGAGTAACGGCGGCACCGGCGCGGTGGGGCTCACGGGGCAGCGCGGCATATACATTCATGTCAGACAAAGATGCCTGCGCGCATGATGTTTCGCCGCCATTAATCTTCCTCGGCCGGCAGGGGCAGGCGTTCCCCTTTGGCGTGATGGTCCGTTTCAGCAGAAGAGGCTACCGTCATACCCGTTCCGGGGGGGGGGGGGGGGGACACCTGGCGTCGCTTTGTCGTCGCGGGCCGGTCGGCTGGAGCGTCGGGCCAATCCGGATTCTTCTCTCGGCTTAATAGCCATGTTTGGTGCGGCGTTGGGGAAGCTCCAGACCACGACCGGCCTGCTTGCTGTCCCACGCTCCACGAGGGAAACCCCACCTGTCCCCGACGGGCGGCGCGCAAAAGGGAAAAAGTATGAAAATGTATGCCTGCATTCTTTCCGGACAGCGTGGTATGTCTTCGACTGCATGAAAGGTGTTAACGGAATTGATATGTGTCTTTACATTGGGAGGAAGGAAATACTCTGCTGCGCGGTTAGGCAACAATAAAGTGGTACAGAATATGCCGACACTCAAACCATTTTCAGCACGTGGTGCACCAAATGAATGTCAGATCAAACGATTGAGGCAAATTAAATATATCACGTCACCAACGCGTAAACTATGGCAGGAAATTGCGTCTAAAATTAATTGGAGCATATGCCCTTGCTGGTATCTGCGGCTAAGGCCTCAAGAAGAACCGCTGTGTAGATCTCGGACTTGTGAATATTCAGTTAGGCTCGAACCCAACTAAATCTCTCAGTGGACACGCTCAGTTTTGTAATGGCAAAGGCACATTTTTACTATAACTGTCCTGAAAGTTATAGATAAGCTTCCATGGACCGACTGAAATACTAGTCATCTTTTGTGTAAAAAGTTGATCTTACGAGAAGTTCACGGACTTGAGTAAAAGGATATAAGAAATAAAATGCGGATTTCAGTAGCCTTATGATAATTTTTTGAAAACTTTATGAAAGGCATATACCTGGAGTATTTTACGCACCACCATAAAAGTCACGATAGATAAATGCATTTGTTATGATCATGTGCTGAAAATGACACCCAATCATCAGCTCGCCACGTCCTCCAGCAGGCGAAAAACCATGAACGACCAAGTGCTGGCAATCGCAAGCACATACGAGCTCTCGGCATCAGCTCAAGGTTCTGCTGAGCTGACAGGAAGAGCCCATGACCAATGGGGGGGGGGGGGGGGGGGGTAGCAGAGCAGCCAGAGTGCCCCGGCCGATTAACAAGTGGGGTTTTCGTCGACAGGAAATCTGAGACAATCTCTCTGAGAAAATGGGGAAACCCAAGTAAGGCCTGTGTCTACCTGACATCACCTGAACTTAGCATCATTTACGTCATTCCCTGTCAGAAAACGCATTCTTTTCTGTAAAACCAAAATCGCAATACCGAGCCTCAGCCCCTGGCTGGCGTAGAACTATCATACCATCACGCGGTAACGATGTTAAGTTGCATGGCATTATGACGACGATGAAAATGTTCTGATTTCAGTTTGAATCCATGTCTTCCGAGGAAGATCACATGCCTAACAGTGCTGGCGGAGAAGTAGTACATTGATAACACACGATTTTGCCTTGTGTGGGTACGGTGGGCAGCAGCACCATTTACCGTCACCTATTCTTCTTTATAGAATGCAATATTTACCGGCAGTATGATTCTGAATCGGGTATGCCAAGAAAACAATGCTTTGGAATGTGAAATCTGTTAAGCCATTTCACGCATCAACTAGCATGAGCCCCCAGCTGCCTGGTGCTACTACCCCGCACAGCCCAGCATGACGTCGCGGCTGGAGGGCGCTAACCCACTGCGACCTGGCCAAGTCTAGCTGACCCTATGCTGGCCGACCTGGCTGGACTTACCTGACGCTCTGCTGGCGGACCTGGCCGGGTTTGGCTAGCGTTTTGCTGACCGACCTGGCCGGGTTTAGCTCACGCTCTGCTGGCCTAGTTCAGCCCGTCTTCCGTGTTGCTCGGAGGAACGTACCATCATCCCGGGGAGAGCTAGAGTGCCACCATCTGGTGGCGACCAGGCGAAATTTGAATGCGGTGAAGTGCCGCACGCCATACAGATCCTCCGTGACCCCGCGGGTTCACAGCGTAGTGTGTCACACTCGGTGAAAACATCGGGATAGCCGCGACTGCGGCGTCACGTGGATGGACAGTGAAAATCGGTGTCCACATCGTTGGGAAATAGCGTCCTCCGGGGTATTTCTGTAACCCCCCTCCGCGTTCGCAGCGAAGCTAATTCTATTGTTTGGATATCTGGACTCAGCTTCCAGCTTGCTCCACCAGCGCACTGCAGAATCTTGTCATTACTTATACTGTGCTACAAGATTGAATGTATGGTGGATCTGTTAGAAGTAAGGAAACAACAGGTCGGTTACAATATAAAGAGAATATTCCACATACGAATATACTGATACAACCATCAGACATGATGAAATAAACTCACCTATAACTACAGGTCTACTTTAAGTGGAGAAGACCGCTTTAGAGAACAGCAGACTAAGTGGAAAAGATTGCTCTTGACAACACTTTAAAAAATGTTCCTCAATGCGTCGTTGCTTGATTGCGGTATCGCAGGGACCCTGCACAACATTGATTGGGAGACAATTGACCGCTGTCATATTTGGAAATGGCACTCACGAGGGCCAGATATGAACAACTGGAAAATAACATATTTCTTGGCTTTGATTGTCACATGGCCAATGGAATGGCAGGATTTGAACAACGTTATTATGGCGTCATGGACGCCTGGGTGACCTTGAGGCGGTCTGCACGAGATAAGCAGCGCACATTCGCATGCGTGTAGCTCAGAAACAAGACGGGTTTAGGTCTAAAGTAGGGCAGGGCCCGGATCTGCACCGAATAATCTTCAAGCTGGCTATTTCAGCTCAAAACCCCACGCAAATGTGAAACACTCCCTTTGGCGGTGGCGCGGTGCGATCCCAGGCGATGTAACAGTAGACGACATCCGCGTTGTCTTTGACAGTCAGGTTTCGTTTACCCTCTCCACGATGGCTTGCGACATGGTCCTGCCAACAGTGACTCAAGAATTTGGGCATGACGTCAACGTAGGTCTTGAGAGTATAGGTCTCCTGGGCACGGGTCGTGAGGGCGTAGATCTGCTGGGCGTAGGCCCAATGGGTGTAGTCAACGTAGGACAGTGAACGTAGGCCTCCTGAGCGCAGCTGTCTCGAGGACGTATGTCTCAGCCAGGCGTAGGTCCTGTAGGCGTAGGTCTTCTGGGTGTGGTTGTCAATGACATAAAGACATCTGGCTACCAAAGAGCCACAATGGTCCACCGAGGTTGGCCTACCTGGGTTCCGCACGCATCCTCGAAACTAATCTTGTCACCTAAACTGCCCGAATTTAACTGCTGTGAACATAGGCGTTTTGTAGTAAGCATTTAGCTGTATGTTGTGAACGGAAGCGTTATGAACGTAAGTTTTGTGAGTGAAAGTTTCCTGCGCATAGGCTTTCTGATCGTAGGTCCTCCGAGCTTTGGTTTTGTGAGCGTAGGCCTTGAGGGCACAGGTCTCCAAACGCCTCGCCAGCTAATTAAATTCGCCCTTTTACGGCCCTCCTGAAATAGTAGCACAATAGCTGCGCGGCTGAGACATTTGATAGCTGGGTTCTGTAAAATGTGTATTTTGGTATGTTGGGGAGGGTAGTTTTGTTGTTTATTGATTATCGCTGGCTATGGAATGGGATGGGATCCGATGGAGGTACTTTGGCGGTAAATGTACATTCAGTTTATTGTCGAAGAATTTGTGACACCAGCGGGGTACGTATACACCGCGTGATGTCCGCTTGTCGGCGTCGCAAGGTCTTTGGTATTCATGACCTCTGTGTTCGGGGAATCCCAGCATAAATGTGGCTCCACCTCACAGATCACATGTCTATCAATGATATATCACATTCTCACATGGCTTGGATTTGATGCAAGTCATTTGTATTTGTTGCCTGTTATGATTGCTTGGTCAGCACTTTATAATGCCAAAAAATGTTGTTTTTGGCATTGTGCAAAATCAATCAGTGACATGTTACATGTTCACATGGATAGACTTTGGCACAATGCATTTGTATTTTTTATATTTAATTATTGCTTGTCCAACACTATTATGTAATGCCAACAACAGTTTTGGAGGGATTGTGTGAAATCACCCTGCCTTAGCAATGCATTGAAACCTTTCTGGTACTTGCTGAACACTGTGGCTGAAATGCTAGGAACAGTGGTTTGGTTAACTGCATTAGTATTTTAAATGGTGTATGTCATGACAGAGGCTGTGATCAAATCAAGCCAAAAGCTGAAGCCATCATAATACATGTGACTGAAGAAACCAGCCACAGATTCTGGCTGAACCCCCCCCCCCCCATCCTTCAAATAAATAGGAAATCTTACAAATTCCCATGCTTTTTGACATCTCAAGCTCTTAGCTTGATCTGCTTGCGGTCTGTCATGCCTTGCACCATTTGAAGTGTTAATGTCGTTGTCCATATCATGCCTAAAACAATATTTTTGACATTATGTAATGTTGGCCAAGCAATTATAATAGGTGATGAATCAATGTGTCAAGCCAAATGCACCCATGTAACATTGTAACATGCCCTTGATATATATGTGACCTGCTGAGGTGGAGCTGTCTTCATGCTGGGATCAGTCTTAGCAAGCCACAATATCATTATTAATAGACATGTTTGCATTTGGGGGGGGGGGCAGTTTTGCCTATGTGGATGCCCTGGCAGCTCCCACATGTGTTTTATGGTAATTGTGTGATGTAGCACTAGTGACATATGAACACCACAGAATGTGAAGGAGATTCAACTTCTTGCTGCAGCTGATCATTTCCACCTTTTGTTGCCATATTGAGCTTTCACAGAATGATAAGGGGCAGGATTGGGGTTGGGGAAGGTATAGTCCCCTACCACCTCCCCTGGCCTCATGTTTATTTGCTGTATTATAAACAACTGAGCAACAGGTCCTTGTTCCACATTTCCACAGGTTACCTTTTGGCATGGTTATGATATCTAGAAACTTGATGTCTTCCTTTTCTACACCTCACTTCTTGCTGCAGTTCCTGTTCCTAGCAGTCTGACAATTTTTGTTAGAGAACATGTCATGTGCCTATTGAGTTGTGTCTTATGACTAATGCCATCCTTACAACTAGTTAAGTTTCTCTCATTTTTTTACAGACTGCAGAACACATCACCTCCAGCCCCAGACTGCAGTGTTTTTAATTATTACCCTCAAGTTGGGCAGTATTGCCCATGTGACCTGTAAGGCCTTCTGGGAAGTCTGGGTGACAAAGTGAGGAATACTGCTGTGCAGAGGAGCATCTTTGGAAACTGCATGGTGGCACTGGGACAACTAGGTGCTGCTGGGTCAAGGTGGTATATGTCTGATCAGAACTGCAGCACAACACACCTGCTATGTGGGTGGCTTATCCCCACCCACTGTGAAGCACTGACCATTGAAGAGTAACTGGAGTGCTACATTGAAGTGGATATACTCTACTCGGCACCACAAAGCCTTCCTCAAAATCGCCGTAGCGGTGCCCTCGAGGGAGTCAGCATCGACCGTTTCGAACCTCTGAGTGCCACCGTGCTGCAAGGGCCCGCAGCCCTCCCAGCAGTGTTGGAGCGCAGCGCGCGCGCCCACCGCCATGACCTCCCACTGGAGCGACCCGTCGCTGGCCACGGACGGCGGCGGCGTGGCGCCGGCCGCCGCTCGCCGCCACTCGCTCCTCACGCCGGCCGACCTGGAGTCGGAGGCGCCGCCGCCGGCGCCGTCCGCGCCGCTCCCCACCGTCGAGTGGGTGGAAGCCTGGCTGAGCGGCTGCCTGCCGGGCCGCGACGGCGCCGAGACGGCGTCGACGCGGCGCGCCTCGGCCGCCGCCGACCCCGACGCCGACGCCACCGACGCCGACGAGGTGCGCTCAGCCAAGAGCGACAGCGTCTGCTACCAGCTGCAGCCCATCGGCGTCTTCTGGGACATCGAGAACTGCCAGGTGGGACGGCGGCGCGGCCGGGTCCGCGCAGACCGGCCCGGCGAGCGGGCGGCGCTGATCTCAGCAGGCGGGGCGGACGGCGCCGGATGGATCGCCACGTGGTCGTCCTCTGTCGCCGCGTCTACGGCAGTGGTTTGGCAACTTCCGGCTTGGGTCGTGCACTGCTCCCCGTTTTCCGTCGGATTATCCGTTGTCTGGACTGTGCTGTTCTTTTCTTGCCTCTCGTCGCTGAGAAGCTGAAAAGTCGCACCGCCGCAGATTGTCAAATGATGACAACAGCCACCCTCGTCATTGTCACCCTGTGACACCTGCCTGGCCGTTCCCTGTGACGTCATCCGAGTCTCCCATTGTAGCGCACGCTGACAGCACCGCCATTTTTGGCGGGCCCGACCTACCCATATCCACCCGGCCCGTCACCGGGTCTCTCCGGAACCGCAGGTGCCCCGCCGCTGCTCGGCCGCCGACTTCGTCTCGCTCATCCGGGAGCAGTTCTACACCAACTGCTGGGAGGCCGAGTTCATGTGCGCGTGCGACGTCAGCAAGGTGTTCCCGCCGTCACTGCAGCAGCTCAACGACGCTCAGGCAAGCGGTCGGGGCGCGAGCCCACCGCGCAGAAATACTGGCGGATCCGGAGATTCGGACCCGGAGATCTGGATCCGGAAGTCTGGACCGGAGATCCGGATCTGAAAATCCGAGATGTGAACATCCGGGTCCAGAAATCCGAGATATGGAGATCCTAGATTTGGAGATTACATAGAGAGGGATGGAGAGGAGGGGGCGAACTGAGATGTCAGGAGGGGAAAAACAACGTGGGTGGGCTAGGTTTTTTGGGTCACTACTAGGTTGCCGATGACGTGCGCAAAACACTTCTCCGAGATTGCGTCGGAGGTGATGTTGCCAAAAAGTGATACGTTTCTACCAAAAAGCGAACAAAATGTGTCAAGATATTATGCAATGGTGTTGGATATAAGTGCAAGGCTTATTAACACTTGAACGCCAAGGTACAAACGCATATGGGTCTCAAGGGATGTGCGTTGGTTGATTTGCCAAGGTTTCGTTAGAAACTGCAGACGACCCAAATTCGTGAGCAGGCAACTGCGGCATTGGTTCACACAATATAAGTGCCTGCTGGTGCTCGTGTCCCACGTGTCTGACATCGCGCGCTAGATGCACGTGACACACGTGTCGCACGCCCTCTCGCGCCAGGTGAACGTGATGCACGTGCCGGCCACGAGTAAGAACGCCGCCGACGAGAAGGTGAAACAGAGCCTGCGCCGCTTCTCTGACCAGTACCCAGCGCCGGCTACGGTGCTGCTCATCACAGGCGACATGAACTTCGCTCCCGATCTCACGTTCCTGAAGCACAGGTGAGATACGCTCAATCTCATCCTCCTGAAGCACAGGTGAGATACACTTGATCTCATCTTCCTGAAGCACAGGTTAGATGCACTTGATGTTATCTTCCTGAAGCATGGGTGAGATGCACTGGACCCCACATTTCTGAAGCACAGGTGAGATGCGCTTAATCTCATCCTCCTGAAGCACAGGTGAGATACACTGGACCTCTCATTCCTGAAGCACAGGTGAGATGCACTTGATCTCATCATCCTGAAACACTGGCGAGATGTACTCAAGCTCACCTTCCTGAAATACAGGTGAGACCTCACATTGTGCCTCTTGTGGTGAGCGACACGCGTGGATGACACACACGCCGACCTCACCTTCTTCAACGCCAGGACCGCCCCCTCCTCTGCACCTCATGTTCCCCAAGCGCAGGTGATGCCCAGGTCCATCCAATCTGAACCCCCCTCCCGGATATGGACGAGGCACTTCCATCGCGCGCTTCACTTCTTCTTGCGCTCCCTGGCATCGAAGAACGTTCGTTGGCGGGATTTATTAAAAAATATCTATCGGCTGTTTGTTCTTTAGCTCCGTGGCACATTGCCTTTCAGACTTTTTGCTATTATTTTGTTTGTTTTGCGTCGGGAATGGACCCTGTACAATAAGCAACTATGGCCATTAGCTCAACCTTACACAGTGCCTGTTTTGACCAGAGTCTGTGGTGCGTCCAAGCCACGGCCTTCCACCGCTCCACCTTCCACCCAGCTCAGCTGCAGTGTGCGCTGACCCGGTGACCCGGCGGGGGCGGTGCGTGCCGCGACGCGTCTGCGCGCGCCCCACTGATCGTCCGACTCGGCTGCCGTGCGTTGCAGGAAGAAGCACAGGGTCATTCTGATACACAACCGGCAGGCGCGGCCGGCTCTGCTCAACTGCGCCGACGAGCGGCATCAGTTCGACGACCTGCTGGCGCGCCTGCCCGACGTCCGACAGCAGGTCAGGTCAGGTCAGGTCGGCCGGCGCCGAGGGTCGGCAGGTCAGGGCACGTTCTGTGGCGGGTCAGGTCAGGGAATGTACGACATTAGGTCAGGTGGGGTCAGCGGGCGCCCGAGGGCCGGTCAGGTCAGGGGACATCGGTGTACTCTTGTACTCCTGATGTACTCTTGACTACCGGTGTACCGGTGATGTACCGGTGTACTCTCGATGGCAGGTTAGGTCGGGGGATGGACCCTGGTAGTATTAGGTCAGCGGACACGTCATATGTCAGGTGATGTCAGCAGGTCACACCCGACGTATTGTCTGAAGAGCTTCGTTTCCGTGGTTCACCGGGTGGGTCATAGGTTAAGTGGTGGTTAATGAACAGGTCGAAGTCAGATAATGGAGATGGAGGGAATGGAAACCGTTACAGATGCTTGAAACCAAAAAGCTAGAATACAAACCAGTTTGGCTTCGGTGATGATTTGACCTGTATCACAATAGGTGAGTGCGTCGAAAGCTGTACCATTTATCAGCCCCTTCTTACGGGCGTCAGCACGCATTCAGTTCACTCTCGGCTGTGGATGGGCTCTGTCGTACGTCATCATTCGGTGACCTGTGGTAATGTCTGCATCCGCCGTTGCCCACTGGTCAACATGCTTTTGCGCTGGGATCCTGCAGACCATCCGTTTGCTATCGCTTCTCTCCTTATTGGCCTCAGCCGCAGTAGGTTTGTGACTAAAATGCAGATTAACGGCTGGCAACAGCCACTGTACATTGGGCGCTGGCGCCTAATCCATTTATCGACGTTTTCACCATTTTTTAACTTTGGCCACCACGTGCCATCTTCTTATGTCCGTTGCACGACAAATTAGTTATTTCTTTGGTGACTTTTAAAAGTGAAATAACAATATTCGCTCCTCTGAGATGGTGTGGTTAAGTATGTAGACCATTTATTATTTTGCAATATTATTTTCATGCATTTATCAATTCTTTTACATCATAATTTTGTTACTGGCAGTATATACGGTATGCTAATGTTTAATTGACAAATATACGTCAGTTGATATGCGTAATGCTGCGTTCCTTTACATGCCGTGCACATTTGTTCGTTTATATGTTATATCTCATGTTTTCAACCATTTTACATTTGACGCAATATGTTACATCTTCATTTGTTTGTACTGTTTGTGTCATGTATGCTATTTAGATTGGTTTACTTTAGCGTCATCAATGTATATGGCTGGTCGCATAACCCAGAAGTCGAGAGCCTGTACACTGCCGGACCGCAGCCTGAGAGTGGGGCCGTGCCGTGACGCACCGCGTGCGCCTGCCGCAGGAGAGCCGCGGCGGGGACCGACTGTGCTGCCACCTGCGGCTGACCGGCCTGCCGTCTGGCGGCGCCGGCCGCAAGTCCAAGGTGGTCAACGAGATCCAGAAGCTCGTGTACAACTGCGGCGGCCGCGTGGAGCGCGTCAACCTGACGGCCGGCGACGCCATCATTGTTTTTCCGTCGCCTGGCAACGCCGCCAGGTGAGCTGGCCGCTCGCTGCGGCGGCCGGAGACGGCGGCTGCGTGACCCGGAGGCGGCGCGCGGCCAGCGCCGCCGCGGACACACTGGACGGGTGCGGTTCACTCCGCGAGAGGGCGTGGCTCCGGTTACTGCCATGAGTGGCGATGACGATGAGTGCGACCGCTACAGGAGTCCTTAAACAGTTCAGCAGCTCTACTGCGGACATGGGTCCGCGCTGTTGTGGAGGTCCTGGATGTGACGGGTTCCCCGCAGTGGGGACCGGACGCGGTAGCCTGAGGGATATGGCGTGACGTGACGTGACGTGACGGTGGCGTGACCGTGGCATGACATGAACGTAACCGCGACGTGACGTGACGTGACGTGACGGGACGGGACGGGACGGGACGGGACGGGACGTGTTGGTTTGAAAGTGCGTGGAGGATCGCACCCAAGCGCAGCAGTGGGTACCAAGTGCGGTTGGCTTTGCTGTTCACGCAAGGACATTGAGCCTTAAATATTGTCATCGGGTATTGGTTAGCAAGCAAGGACAGCTCTTATTTTATGTTCTCATCTCTTTTTTCTCGTGCTCTTCTGCGCTTGACTTCAGAAGGTATTCGACTTTGATCCGACGTTAGAAACTGTTACGTAAGGCATTCGCCCTTATTTGGGTGACACGAGCGTGACACGAGCGCCCCGGTGTGATACGAGCTGGGCGTCATATGTGACAAAGAAAGCACATCTGTAAAATCAATTTGTAGATGCTCGGGGACGTCAGGGCCGAGTGGTTAGCGCATCGGACTCCCTCATGGGGGCCCGGGTTCGAATCCCGCGGGCTCACTGTCACTGAGCACTGTATGGCCAATGTAGCCCCTGGCGCTCCTTAAACGAACGCGGGGACGTGCGCCACGTTTTCGTTAAAAAAAAACCGTACGGAGGATGGTGTACGCGGGCGGCTTTGAGATAGCGGAGCTTCCGCCTACGGTGCATCGGATGACGTCGTTCACGACGCACTAGCTTAGGCTCCGTGACGTCGCCTGCCTCTCAACCTGGCAGAAAGGGCGGACACCGAGGGGAATCGAACCCCGTACCTCTGGTTTACCAGACGCGCAAAAGTTCTCCGAAGGGTTTGGCTCCGGGCGTTTTAGCACGGTACTGACGGTCACCATGTGTCAGGCTGGCCGACCTTGTGCTAGTGTCAGCTGACCTTTCCGTGTCCGTGTTTCCAAACAGTCTTAAGCATAGGTAACGGCACTGAAAGCGTCAATTCCGGTGGTTTGATATGGTGGTGCCCTGGGAGTAGAACATTGCATCAGTTCTTACAGTACCGAAATATTCCTTTTTAAATACCCAAAGATAGCTCGGGAAAGCTTTTGGTCAACCTCCGCCGACATTAGCTCGCACTGAATCAGATCACTTACTTTGCTCCAGTTGTATAGTTTGCGCGTTTGGTTGCATCATTGTAAATGCTCTGACAGCTGCGGCTGTAGCATGAAAACATGCTGTGGCCTAAACGCGTTAAATAAACGAAGAAAAGGGATTGAGTGTACGAACAAAGTTAAACATAGCACGCACTGATTGTTTGCATAATGACTTGTCGCTCCTGGGGTTATTGGTGTGCATTGAATGAGTCGAGCTTTACTGTCGCGGATATGTCTTCAGTTGGACGGCGTTGAAGCGCTCGGAAGGAGCTAGATTTAACCAGGTATGGTCCCTGGACGGATTAACCGAGCGCCAGTCTGTTGCGGTCCGGACGACGCGAACCCCACGCTTCTTGGTGGGAATTCCGCCCTTGCGTCGCGCGCGGCTCGTGATTGGCGCTGGCCATCCGGCGCCCGAGGCGCGAAAGGTCAACCCCCGCCGTGACCTCGGGGTCAGACAGTGTCAGGCTGGCGCGCCGTGTCACTGGCGCTGCCCGCCGAGACCTGGCCCTGTTCAAGGCAGCCGCCTGCCTTGTGATTAGTGTTTTGGAGGTTTCCATGCGTTCGTAGAGGGCGTGGGGTTTAGCGTACGAGCTACGTTTTTGTGCCGGCCTGGTTCGGCGGTGGGTGGGCGCGCCGTTACCGACAGACATACCCGCGTGTCCTGGTGCGGGTGCGCCGCTGGTAAGTGATCCCGCGCCCACCTGTCTCGGCTCGGCAGTCAGTCCTGTGCTGTTGAAAACTGGATTGGCAGCTAGCGTGTTTAGTTTGCCGACACCGCTCCGCCCTGCCTCATGGTAGCAGCTCTTGAAGTGTCATTGTTTCCTCAGGTGTGTGTTGGATTTCAGGAGGATTGTGCTGTGTGTTGGATTTGGTTGCATTGTGTTGGATTTCAGGAATATAACGACCTGTGTCTTGTCGAAGAGAGACGGGGAGGGGGGGGGGGGGAAGTCATGCGCCATATGTGAAGTTGATATGTCGCGGTGATGCTTCCATTACTATATTTTACATTGCTTAACAGCGCTATGGCTATGTGGATCGAGCTGTGCCTCATTTATGTGGGATATTGCTCACTTTTTACACGTTTCATCTCGTTATATTTATTAGATATCTCGTATAATTACATGTTTCTCATTGTCTTTATTTGTCGTTGTCATTTCAATTACATGTTGTCTCATTTATTTGGGAGATGCCTTTGGACTGGAAAGCTGTTTTTTTGAGAGTGCGTCTGATCATTTTGGAAAAACTGAAAGTGGGAAGTGTTTCCTGTGTAAAGAAAACGACTCTGTTCATTGGCATCGAGAAGGGATTTCCCAGAAAATCTCCGACGCTTTTCCTTCATAGCTCCTTTTTATATTAGCTCCTATATTACATTAGCTCCTTGAGTATGACGAGGAACGCAGCAACAACAAAAAATAGGAGGAACGGGTATAAAATGATCAAAGTTGAGGGGATGGGGTAGGGTCGAGGGGCATTGGTTGGATTATGCAAACCAGTCGAAGCATCACGATTTAATGCGTGCAACAGCCAATGCTTGTGCGACATTCAACTTCCACCTGCGGTAGTATTATATAACGAACAATGAAAACGAAACGTTCCATAGTTGATGGATGGCTCCGCTTCGATTTTGGCAGTCTGCTTCCGGTACTCGCATTTCGCCTGTGTTAATTCATGATGATCGATGCTGGCGGTCCTGTAGCGTTGCTCTTTTAGTAGGCAATTGAACATGTCATGCCGGTGTGAGTTTATTCCGTATGGTCATCTGTGGTTTGATGACTTCCTCCCGCTACTTCCTTGTTTCTGCATGACAAACGTTTCCCTGCTTATTTTCGTATCGCCAATGAAAACCTTAATGGTCACACTTTCCCTGGGTGTTTCTTTTCGTCTCGTCAGTAAATCCAAATTTTGCCCCTTATGGTAATGCCCCTTGATTGCCCCTTATGGTAATGTTAAGATTCGTCTAGACAACGCCCTCTAGGCGCCTGGTGTTTCTGCTTCATCAGCGGGGCGAAGGTTGCCGCATGACGTCATGCCTCGATGACCGAGGCCACCTGGTCATCCACCTGACCTGGTCCACCGATAACGGCGCCATAAACCCATCTGTTGGTGTGGTGCTCGTTACATCCGCGTATTTCCCTGTATGTCTTGTTCTATGACGTCACTGCCGTTTGGTCATGCTCTATGTCAGTTCGCAACCCCAGCGTTACTCCCCCGCCATGTTTCTGCGTCACTGTTACCTGCTGTTTGTTGCCTCTCTGTTGCCCGCTGTTTGCTGCCTCATTGTTGCCCGCTGATTGTTGCCTCACTGCTGCCCGCAGTTTGTTGCCACACTGTTGTCCGCCGTTTGCTGCCTCACTTGCCCGCTGTTTGTTGCCTCACTGTTGCCTGCTGTTTGTTGTCTCACTGTCGCCCGCTGTTTGTTGCCTCACTGTCGCCCGCTGTTTGTTGCTTCACTGGTGCCCGCTGTTTGTTGCCACACCGTTGTCCGCTGTTTGTTGCCACACCGTTGTCCGCTGTTTGTTGCCACATTGTTGCCCGCTGTTTGTCGCCCGCCGTTGCCGCTGTTGTCCGCTGTTTCCGGCTGGCTGCCCTGCTGTGACGCCAGTGTATGGTGTAACCCAGGGCCAAGCACCGGCTACACCACGTGGTCATCTGCGGGTCTCAGACGTTCGTGCAGTTCCACTACAAGACCGGCCAACGTTCCCGGCCCAGCCGGCTCTCCTCCAGCGGCGGTGAGTCAGCCCTCTGGTGTTCAACCACAAGGGGGGACAGGGGGGGGGGGAGGGGGGCTCAGCTAACCGGCCGCCGGCGGGAGGGCGGCACGCCTTGGTCATTGTGCGTTCTCGTTTTACAATTGAATGGCTGTAATTTGTGGCATCAGTGGTATATAAAAAGAAATGTAGCATGACATACACGAAAGAATTGAGGTAAATATTCGAAGAGGAGCTGCAGATATTTGCGCAAGCTTTTCCCCCCAGTGGTGTTGATTGAGGTTTTTACCGAGAAAGCCATGTGAAGTGTAGTTTAATGCCCAGTGTGTCTTTTCCTAGCAATCATGCCGTATATTTTACACCCGGTAGATGTCTCCCGAAGGGGTTCCCCTCAATGTTCTGGAATAATAGCCATGTGCTGGAGCAGCGCTGCCGCCGCCCGTACACTGGCTCACGCGCTGTGCGCGCGCCACCAGAGGTCGCCATGGTGCAGGAGAGCGGGCCGCTCTCGGCCGAGGGGCGGCCGCCGGCCACCGGGCCGCCACTGTGGTCCCCGGCGCCGCGCACGCGCAGCAGCTCCGTGTCGACGCAGACGTCGCCGGAGCCGGGCGGGCCGGCCGAGGCGGTCGAGTCGCGGCCCGACTCGGCCGCCTCGGTGGCCACCCAGACCTCGCCCGATGGCCGGCTCACGGTCAGCAGGTGAGGAGCCGGTCCGACCGCTCCGGTAGTACGTGTATACACCACCGACTGGGCGTGTGCACGCAGACGTGCGTGGTGCATACGTGCGCGCCTAGACGTTTGCCTCCAGGTGGCAGCCAGCCCGCTGATATCCCAGGATTTAAGAACGGCTGTTTGGTTCGGTTGTGGTTGTTTGGGTTGTTTGGGGTAGAGCGATTTCTGCTAGTCCTAATCAGTGTAGGGCTTTGCGATGAACGAGAGCGGGTAACAATATGTTCTCCCTCTGAATCCGAATCATGCCAACCCTCCTGTGTTGAAGTGTGACTCGCTAACTTGGAAGCCCTCGGGGTCCTCCATTTTTGGGCCAGGGTCTTTTCCAGCGTCGGCCATTGTCACTAAGTGAGACTTCCTTTGCAGCTTGGAGAGCTCCCCAAGTACCGACGCGTCCCCCCGTCCTACTGACCGAGCATCAGCACCTCGCCACGACCAAATCTTCAACCAAAGGTTCTCTGGTCATCCGACAGGCGGCGGTGGCGGCGGGCAGTTTGGATCACCACGGGGTGAGACTCTTCAGACGATCTACGCCATTTATTGTGAAATAGTAATTTTTTTAGCTGTTAGTACTGATGATGCCTACTGATTTTGCTGTCTATTATTAACTTAAGTAGCATGGCATGCATTTTGTGGAAAATTTTAGACTACCAGGGTCGGGTTGGGTTGAACATTGGGTTTCATCTCTTCTCTTGGATTTGTAAGCATGTTTATTTGAGCCTTTTTTAGGTTGTATGCCAACAACTTGTTGGCCTCGTATGAACGTCAGATCATGGTATCCGAGAATGAGCCATGCTCATCTCTATTGTATACTGGATAAATATTGCGCGAGTCAAGGCGCAAAAAATTGTTGAAAGCCAGCACAGAAAAAAATATTTTTCTTGCTCCACATTCAAGAATGAAACATCTTGCCTTTGATATATTTTTATCGGCCGTTTGATTACACAATCTCAGTCAGGGTAACGTGGTACATTTGTAGTGTAGTGTGATTTTGGATGGCCATGTTTTTTTTACAAACCATGCTTACTGGTAGCCCTAAGGCTGGCGCTGCAAGTAGTAATATTTTAAGTTTTGAAAATGCCAGATTGAGTGCCGTGGAGCATATCAAAGTATTCAGTGGGTCCAAATAATATAACATTTAAATTCGTAAGGTGTAGCTCTGTTGCGCGCGGAATGCATTCCCGGCCGGCTTGTGCACTGATGGGTCACCCTCCCAGTAACTCGTCAATAAACTCGCCGATATTTCCGTGATAAGTGCGTCTATTGGCCGCCTTTCCGCCGGCCGTATGCTGATTGGCCGCCTCTCCGCCGGCCGCGCGCTGATTGACCGACCCGCCGCCGGCCACGCGTTAATTGGCCGTCTCTCCGCCGGCCGCGCGCTGATTGGCCACCGTCTGTCCCGGCAGGCGGCCGCTCCGACCCGGCGGCGGTAGCGCGGCCTCCGACGCCGGGCGCGCGCGCAGTGCCGGGCCGCCCCTCCAGCGGCGGCGGTGGGCGCGCTCGCAGCGGCTCGCCTGCCGTGGGCGGGCCGGGCGGCCTGGACGGGCCCGTCGAGCTGACCGTGACCAACCTGGACGCCAGTCGCCACCCGCGCGACGCCGAGAAGGTCCTCTACGACCTGGCCATCCGTCACGCCAAGGTACGCTTCGCCGGCGGCGGTCGGGGCAGGTGGTGCTGCTAGCACTGGTGCCTCTGCGCTTAGCTGAACAGCGGAGTGTCTCAGAACCGTGGCAGAGCTGTTGTCTGTCAAGGCGCGTTGCGACGTCCGAATCGTTTTCTGGCCAACACCCTATTGTGTGATCGCTGAGCCGTCGTGTGACGTTAATGTTAACACAGAGCTCGATCTCGGCTGTGTCCCTGTGCTGTGTGCGGTAGCGTGGCCTCTGACGGTGCGTAGCCCGCCATCCGTACCTAAGGTAGAGGCGTGCTGGTGTCCTCTACAGTATCTGGTACACCATCCCCGCACGGGTGGACGGCGTATCGGTGTCCTGTGCGTACAGTCTCTGACGCATCAACCCAACGCATGCGGACGGCTGGTTCTACAGTCTCTGACGTGCCACCCCTGCCCGAGTGGATGGCTGGTCGTTTTAGTGTCTCGCACAGTCTCTGGCACGTGACCCATATCTGCACGTGCGCCGTATCGGTATCCCGCACAACCTCTGACCCGCCGCCTCTGCACGGCTGGGGGACGCGTCCGTGTCCAGTCCAGTCTCTGACACCCTGTCCGGCGCAGGTGGAGAGCGTGTCGGTGTACTGCCAGTCGGACGGCTCGCTGGTGGGCACCATCTCGGTACCGACGCTGTACGACTCGCAGGCGTTGATCGCCGAGATGCACCGCGCCGTGGTGGGCACCAAGCGCATCATGCTGGCGTACGCCCGCACCGACCGTCCCGACCCGTACAAGATACGGTACGACCTCCCCCTCCGGGTACACCTGGTCGGTTCGCTGTGTGGATGTGGATGTGGATGTGTCTGCGTGTATGTGTGTGCGTGTGCGTATGGATGTGTGTGTGCGTGTGGATGTGGATGTGGATGTGGATGTATGATGTGTGATGTGTGATATGTGTGTGATATGTGGACGGTCTGTTCCCGACAACAGGCCCCGTGTTGATTGGGCGGCTACAGCCCACGACTCGTGTCCTGGTCGGTCGTGCTCGCTGTGATTGGTTAAATGCTCCGAGGTCTTGTGACGATTTGGCGGCTATGTCCGCTGGTTGGCCGCTTGGTCTGCAACGCGCCCTCCGATTGGCGGCGGTGTTTGTGACGCGCCCTCCGATTGGCGGCCTGCGGTCAGGACGCAGGTGATTCGGCTGCTGAACGACGTGCCATCGGGCCAGCTGCCGCTGGTGAAGTTCATGGAGCTGTACGAGCAGCGCTTCCACAACACCGTCTCCATCGCCGACCTGTTCAGGTCAGCGTCGCTGGGCGCGGCGTCTGCCGGCCCGCCGGCGGCACCGGTCTCCGCCTCGATGCCGTTACGACCCCGGCTGTCGGGCCTGCCCCAGCTGCTCGATGTTTACGAGGCTGGGGTGGCTGCCCGCCAAGCCCCGCCCTGCAGTGCAGCTCTTGGATTCACTAATATTGCGTCGTTTACGAGGCAACCTTTTAGTTCGTTTTTTTGTGCGGGTTAAGTTTAAGTGTCTTTCGTGACACTTCAATTCCATCTGCATTCTGTCTCGGTAGTCTCTATGTATGCCCTGTTCTTCCGCATCGTATCATGCCCCAGTCTGGATGCTGGCATCACGCCATAGTCGCTGAGATTCCGTGGAATGGTTCGTGCCAGCTTGCGGTGCGGTCTCATAAGCAGATGTCCGTAACATTGGGTATGCTATCTCTCACGCGCACTAGCTTGCGTAACAATATCGAGCCTGCTCACCTGTCGGTGTCTCAGTATCGCAGCTATGTATTGTTTGCATTTCCCAAAGCGTTTTTCGCGATCGAACTACCAACGAATACTTTTTTCGAAAATCGTTCGGAGCCCTGTTTCTTTACTGTCTGAAATTGGCTGCCACCGGTTATTTTAGCTGTGGACGCGCTCGACTCCTTGCTCTTTCTCCGATCGGCGATAGCTAGCATCCCTGCGCATGGGTGCGTGGTTTCTCCACTCTGCTCGACTCGTGCTCGCAGACTAATGCGCACCTGGTGCAACCAAGCTCCTAACGCCACCGGCGCGATGAGCCTTCGTTCCTTTCCTGCAGTACACCGGGTCGGTTTGCTGTGCTGCATAACATACCTCGTAGTATAACGCTTCTTCATGCGTTTCCATGCATTTAGGTTAGGTTTCCTGCAGTACACCGGGTCGGTTGCTGTGCAGCATAACATGCCTTGTAGCATAACGCTTCTTCATGCATTCGGTTTTCTGGTGGCGGGCGTTTCTCACCTGCTGCTTTTGTTGCCTTTGGTGCGGACGGCGTTTGCGTATCCTAGAGCGGCACAGACTGCCCCCCGGGGCGGGCAGTGCTACTTGACCACGCTGGCTGCCTGCTGGCTGCTCCGTGGATCTACGCTCGCCTCCCCGGGGGTGTGCGGGTCTGCGCTGGTCTCCCGGGAGGCTGGCACGGACCCGACAGCTCTTCAGCGTAGTGGTCCCGCCCGCTCGGCCGGACGCTTCTAACATCGCCGCGGGCGGTCCATTGGCTTCGGGTTGCGGTTGTCTTGCTGCACAGCTGCCGCTGGTGGCGGCGCCCCCGGACGGTCCGTTGCCAACCGCTCTTTGGGAGAGGGGGCCGGTGGGCGACGTCGTGCCGCCCCCTGTCGGCGGTGTTCTACGGCCGCTCACACCCTACGCGCGCCAGTGTTTGTTTGGCGATGTTGAAAGCTCGCTCTGCCCCATATACCTCGGTCCGAGGGTTCCTTCGGCTTCTTTGCACCTTTTCGCGCTGGCTCGGCGTCTGGATCTGGGCCTTGTATGGCGCCCTCAGGAATGACAGCTGACGGCGCAGTGTGCGGACGGGTCTTTTGTCGCGAGCTGCCTCGCGTCACTTTTCCTTGCATGCCCGTATGCACCCATGCATGCATGTAACGTGTTGACCATGTTGTGAAATTACGGAGACGTCAACATGCCAGCGGTATGACGTGGGACGTATGGGAAGTACCGTAGATGTCGCTATCCCCGATAATTATCCCAGTCGTGGTGGTTTGCTCTCGCTTGCGTTCTCGTGTCCAAAACGAATCAAACCGAAGACATAGCGCCGGATCTCTGCGTGAAGGCTCCCGTGTCGGCGTTGCCATGGCGGCGGACTGTGCCGCGGACTACATCAGCCTATGCGTGACCCGGAGCCGGGCTGGCGGGCTGCGGGTGCCGGCCGGCGCCGCCCGGTCTGCGCTGTGTGGGCCGCGGGCCGCCGGCGCCGCCCCCTCAGCGGCCCCGCCCCCTCAGTGGCCCCGCCCCCTCAGTGGCCCCGCCGTGCCGCAGGATGCGCGAGACTGTGACGGTGGTGGACAGCAGCAGCGGACGCGTTATCCAGCTGAATCCGATGCTGAAGACCCAGGACCATGTGAGTGTCACCTGTGCTCCGTGCTGTGCTGGGCGGCGCCCTGCCCTGCCGGTTGTTGCGTATGATCGTTGTGGCTCGTACCCAGTGTCAATTACCCGATGACTCACCATGAAGATTTTGGTGTCTCCGCGAGCTATCGTGCCAGTCAGAGCTGTTGGCACACCTGGCATCGTGCGAATGTGCCGATATGACTTGCTGTCAGCGCTTTTTTGCATAATTGCAGGGAAATTTACTTAATAAATCGCAGACGTGGCGGCTTTATGAATCAATAAGTTTGTCGTGATATCGATGCGCTCAAACTTGCACAAACTCATTCCAGAAGTGTTTTGCACTTTGAGCATGATGTTGCCGAAATTTTGCACTTATCAGCAACATTCTGCAGTTGGGATTTTGGCTTTCTGTTCCCATGTGCAGTTCACTTGTACTTCACTTTGAAAAACCCGAAGCTCTCACGATAGCGCCAGATTCAGCTGCCCACATGACGTCCCAATGTCTGATGTGATGTCGTGCTGCGAGCCCGAGAGTTGGCTCCGTGTCGGAGCGGCGGCTGGTTCCCCAGCGCTGCCCCGCCACCTGCACGCGCGCACACGCGCACGCATACGCGCACGCACGCACGCACGCACGCACGCCGGCAGGGCTGCGGCGTCCGACCGCCGGCCGCCTCGGCGTGCGCGCGCCACCCGCCTCAGCGCGGCGCCACCGTCGGCTGGGCAGAACTCGACGACCCCAGCGTGCTGCCCAACAGCGACGTGGCACTGGAGGAGCTGGAGCGCGTGGTGCGCCACCTTCTGGAGACGCACGACGGCCTGCTGCATCTCTCCAGGTGGGTGTCGGCCCGCTCCTGGTGTACAGGACCTGGCCAGGGGCGTGACGCCTCTCCGAGATTAGGGATATCTCTAGGTGACGACGTGGTCGCTCAGTGGTATAGGACCTCTCTAGGTGGGAAAGTCCTGTGCTGTAAGGGCGGTAAGGTCGTTTGTACGGTGCCGTTCGCTGTGGGCATGCGCCGCTCTAGGGTACACCAAGGCATTTCGTTACGACCACCTGACTCCAGGCTGGTGTGAGATCTCCCTGAGTTGACCAGCCCCATCAGCTGGACGAATGGCTGTGTACTCCTGCCCGTCTCGCACGCGCCAATTGGGACCTTGACACCACCTACGTGCTGTGTCAGAACACAGCGCGGCACGTGCGCTCGGAGCCACACCCACGTGTCTGGCTCTGACTGACTGGCGCGTCTGACTGACCCGGCAGCCTGCTGGACTGTGACGTGTCTGACTGGCCCAGCAGCCTGCTGGACTGTGACGTGTCTGACTGGCCCGGCAGCCTGCTGAACTGCGACGTGTCTGCCTGACCCGGTAGCCGGCTGGACTGTGGCGTGCCTGACCCGGCAGCCTGTTGGACTGTGACGTGTCTGACCCGACAGCCTGCTGGACTGTGACGTGTCTGCCTAACCCGGTAGCCGGCTGGACTGTGACGTGCCTGACCCGGCAGCCGGCTGGACTGTGGCATGCCTGACCCGGCAGCCTGCTGGACTGTGACGTGTCTGACCCGACAGCCGCCTGGACTGTGACGTGTCTGACCTGGCAGCCTGCTGGACTGTGACGTGTCTGACCCGGCAGCCTGCTGGACTGTGACGTGCCTGACCCGACAGCCTGCTGGACTGTGACGTGTCTGCCTGACCCCGCAGCCTGCTGGACTGTGACGTGTCTGCCTGGCCCGGCAGCCTGCTGGACTGTGACGTGTCTGACTGGCCCGGCAGCCTGCTGGACTATGACGTATCTGCCTGACCCGGCATCCTGCTGGACCGTGACGTGTCTGCCTGACCCGGCAGCCTGCTGGGCTGTGACGTGCCTGACTGACCCAGCAGCCTGTTGGACCGTGACGTGTCTGCCTGACCCGGCAGTCTGCTGGACTGTGACGTGCCTGCCTGACCCGGCAGCCTGCTGGACTGTTACGCGGCCGAGTTCCACGACCCGGCGCTGGCGCGGCTGCGGCTGGACCCGGCCGCCGTCTGCCTGGAGCACCTCATCACCTGCCTGGCCGACGTGCGCGTGGTGACGCGCGGCCAGGACAAGCTGGTGGTCTGGGCACGTGACTCGCCCGAGGGTGAGTGGCGCTCCGGGGCCCGCAGGCAGCGGCCTAGCGAGGGGATGGACTGGGGGTCGGCTGACGCGGTATGGGCGGGTCGAAGTTGTCGGAAGCTGTCTCGGTCCGGCCTGAGACCTCTGATTCTGTCGGGGTTCAGGTTCGGCATCTGTGACTGCAGAGTTGTCGTAGCAACGCGTTGTGTTTTGGAGTATCCCGTGGTAACCACCCCAGTCGCGGTGGTTCATAGTTCAGACTGGAACTGGTGGTGGCCGTGTCATACTACGAAGGCAGAGACTAAGAAGGAGGAATCAGAGACGAAGGCAGGCGATGGCGGGAGAGTTCGTAGGCGACTGATCGGCGGCCCGCTCTGGCGTAGTCACCTCGGATCGTCGTTGCGCCGGCCCCGCCGTCGGCTGCCGCCGACGCCTCTGACGGCGCGAGGCGTCCGTGCCCCTCAGACGAGCCGGCCCCGGTGAACCCCAGCCTGCAGCAGAAGGTGGTGCTGTTCTCGCGCGAGGTGGTGGACCTCCTGCGGGCGGCGCCGCGAGCCCGCATGCCCTTCAACAGGTGCGTCGGCTACCGAACCGTCCCGCTGGAGGCAGTCCCGTGCTTCGAAGGCAGGCCTGTTTAATGCTGGTCGGGCGTGTGGGAGCACGACAAAAGTGTGCGGTCAGCCGTTTGTTGGTTTAAAAGAGCAACTATTAAATGACAGATGGTTGCAAACCGCTTAAATATTGACTCTTGGTGGTGTAGAGTTCATGAATGCCGGGCTCTTTTCATGGAGTTCACCAGAACGGTCAAACAGAATTGAAAAACGGTCACGGTGTGGACGCATGCGGCCGCACAATACACTCATTCCTCTGTGCGTTTATGTGAACTTGAGTATCGCGCATCCGACATGGCGTTCGTCATCATCTCCAGCAAGCTCTGGCGCATCGCTAACGGCATGGCGTCCTCGACCTCCTTTTCAGGTTCATCCCAGCGTACCACCATCACTTCGGTCGGCAGTGCCGCGTCTCCGACTACGGGTTCACCAGGCTGGCCGACCTGTTCGACGTGTTGCCGCAGATCGTGCAGGTGGGCCACGCTGTGCCGCGCCGGGGTCCTGCGGCAGCGGCGCCGGGGGGGTGGGTCACTGCCGGACTTTAGCTCTGACCTCTCGGCGTCGGGTGTTGTGCCGAACCTTGACCTGGTGCTGTGCGGACCGCCGCTGGGTAACTGTATTGGTCACCTGGCACTAGGCTGTATGTATCTCCCGCTCCTCCGTAAGTACTGGGTTGGCCCCTGACCAACAAGTTGTTCTCCCCTCTGACACTGCTGCACTGGCCTCCCCTGTCCCCAGGTGCTGTGCTCTCCCCTCACGCTGCTGTTCTGACCTCCCACTGTCCCCAGGTGCCGTGCTCTCCCCTCGCACGGCTGTACTGACCTCCCCTTGTTTCCAGGTGCTGTACTGTCTCTCCCCTGACACCGCTGTTCTGACCTCCCACTGTCCCCAGGTGCCGTGCTCTCCCCTCGCACGGCTGTACTGACCTCCCCTTGTTTCCAGGTGCTGTACTGTCTCTCCCCTGACACCGCTGTTCTGACCTCCCACTGTCCCCAGGTGTTGTGCTCTCCCCTCGCTGTGCTGTACTGATCTCCCCCTGTCCCCAGGTGCTGTACTCTCCCGTGACACCGCTGTTCTGACCTCCCCTCTCCCCCGGTGCTGTACTGTCCCCTCGCACTGCTGTATTGACCTCCCTTGTCCCCTGATACTGTGCTGTCTTCTCGCACTGTAGCACTTGCCTCCCCTGTCCCCAGGTGCTGTGCTCCTGGGGACAGGGGAGGCAAGTGCTACAGTGCGAGTGCAAGTGCTCCCTCGCCCTGCTGTACTGACCCCCCCCCCCCCCCCTGTCCTCAGGTGCTGTACTTTCCTCTGACACCGCTGTTATGACCTCCCGTGTCACCAGGTGCTGGGCTGTCTCTCCCCTGACACCGCTGTTATGACCTCCCGTGTCACCAGGTGCTGGGCTGTCTCTCCCCTGACACCGCTGTTATGACCTCCCGTGTCACCAGGTGCTGTTCTGTCCCTTCACACTGCTATACTGACCTCCACCCCCGTTCCCAGGTGCTGGGCTGCGGTCACCGTCGCGTCATCACGCTGACGCCGCGCGCCCAGGAGCGCCGCTTCCTCTCGGACCTGCTGCGCGTGCTGAAGGCGCAGCACTCGAAGCAGCTGGCCGTGACGGCCCTGCCGCAGGCCTTCTCCGAGGTCACCGGCCGCGAGTTCACCGTCTGGGACTACGGCGCCACGCGGCTGCACACGCTCCTCTCGACCGTCAACGGTGGGTGACGCGAGCGCTGCCGGGCGCGGCGGACGGCGCGGCACGGGTCCCCGCACCGGCCACGCTCTCGTGACAGCGCGGGATGGCACGCCATTGGGTGACGTGTCACTGAGTGATACGTAACTGGGTGTTATGTCACTGGGTGACGCGTCACTGGGTGATACGTCACTGCGTGACGCGTCACTGGGTGACTCATCACTGGGCGGTGGATACGCTGTTCTCCGCGGTATGGGCGGCGCGTCACTAGTGGTTCATTGGGCACGTTTGCTGCTCGCTGTTGCGGTGTGAAGGCAGTCGTCTTTGTGGTGATTTCGTGTGACACTTCACGTCTCCGTGTTGTCGCGTGTCCCACTTAGAAGTGTCTGTGGAACCTCTTTTCCTTGTGTGCAAACAATCTGCTCTTTCGTTTGTATGTTAAAGCGTCCGTTCTTTTGTTGCGCGAAGGTAACCCTTTTCCCCTCAAAAGCTGTGGGTCCTGCCTGCGTGCTCTGGGGCCGTTTCTCCTGCAACGAAAGCTCTTACAATCACGTGCTTAGTTGTCTGGATATTTCGATGGCAACATTTCCCAGCACAACTCGCCTTGATGGGCGATCTTGGCGAAGTTCCCTCGGGCAGTGCCAGTCACCGGTTATCGGTACGGTGAGCGGTTTAGCTGTTTCTTACATTACATAATGTCCGATCTCGTGTGTTTTCGTGCGGCCCCAGGCGACACGGCGGTGCTCCCTGACGCTCGTGTCTCTGTGCGCTCGTGCGGCAGGCGACAGCGTGGTGGTGTACAAACAGGACGGTGATCTGCGCGTGGCCATACCGCGTCGCGAGCAGACGCCCGAGGAGATGCAGAAGACCAAGCACTTCGCCACGGAGGTACGCGCGAGGCCCAGACCCTGGTGGCTGCTCTGTTGAACGTGAAACTAGGGAGATGTGGAAATCCCGACACTTGCTGTCAAACACTTGCTACAATGGAGCAAGTCTTGGTCTCCAAAAAGCATCGCCTTTCCAAGCCCCTTTTTCTCTTTTCTGTCCTGTTTGTCTAGACAAAAGTGTTGGGAGCGCATGGCGAATAGTCATCGATTCATGGTTTGCATGGAACGGAAAACACATGGCGTCATCTCTTCGTGTGGACAGTTCAAATGACACTTGTTGCGAAGCTACACCACGATTGGACGGGAGATACGTGAACCAAACATTTTGTGTTGTGATATGCTGTGACAAGATCCAACAAAGGGTACCCGGCCTATATGTATGATTATTCTACTGGGTCAGGGCGCAGGCTTGGGAGATGCTGACTCAGCAACATGCGTTTTTGTTTTTTTTAAAGCGAGAGTAAGAAAGGCGGTCAATGCGATACTTTACTGTGGTGATATCATACCCTGACAGACCATACCATATTCTGCCGGTACCACAACATGACGATGTCATGCCCTGACGACACCATACACCGACATGCCATGCCCTGACGATGTCGTGCCCTGACGATACCACACACACTGACATATCATGCCCTGACGATGTCGTGCCCTGACGATGTCGTGCCCTGACGATGTCATGCCCTGACGATGTCATGCCCTGACGATGTCTTGCCCTGACGATGTCATGCCCTGACGATGTCATGCCCTGACGATGTCGTGCCCTGACGATGTCATGCCCTGACGATGTCGTGCCCTGACGATGTCGTGCCCTGACGATGTCGTGCCCTGACGATACCATGCCCTGACGATACCCTACACGGACATACCATGCCCTGACGATACCCTACACGGACATACCATGCCCTGACGATACCCTACACGGACATACCATGCCCTGACGATACCATGCCCTGACGATACCCTACACGGACATACCATGCCCTGACGATACCCTACACGGACATACCATGCCCTGACGATACCATGCCCTGACGATACCCTACACGGACATACCATGCCCTGACGATGTCATGCCCTGACGATGTCATGCCCTGACGATGTCGTGCCCTGACGATGTCATGCCCTGACGATGTCATGCCCTGACGATACCCTACACGGACATACCATGCCCTGACGATGTCATGCCCTGACGATGTCATGCCCTGACGATGTCATGCCCTGACGATGTCATGCCCTGACGATGTCGTGCCCTGACGATGTCGTGCCCTGACGATGTCATGCCCTGACGATACCATGCCCTGACGATGTCGTGCCCTGACGATGTCGTGCCCTGACGATGTCATGCCCTGACGATACCATGCCCTGACGATACCCTACACGGACATACCATGCCCTGACGATACCATGCCCTGACGATACCCTACACGGACATACCATGCCCTGACGATGTCATGCCCTGACGATGTCATGCCCCGACGATGTCGTGCCCTGACGATGTCATGCCCTGACGATGTCGTGCCCTGACGATGTCGTGCCCTGACGATGTCATGCCCTGACGATGCCATGCCCTGACGATGTCATGCCCTGACGATACCATGCCCTGACGATACCCTACACGGACATACCATGCCCTGACGATACCATGCCCTGACGATACCCTACACGGACATACCATGCCCTGACGATGTCGTGCCCTGACGATGTCGTGCCCTGACGATGTCGTGCCCTGGCGATATTATGCCCTGACGATACCATGCCCTGACGATACCCTACACGGACATACCATGCCCTGGCGATGTCATGCCCTGACGATGTCATGCCCTGACGATGTCGTGCCCTGACGATGTCGTGCCCTGACGATACCATGCCCTGACGATACCCTACACGGACATACCATGCCCTGACGATACCATGCCCTGACGATACCCTACACGGACATACCATGCCCTGACGATGTCGTGCCCTGACGATGTCGTGCCCTGACGATGTCGTGCCCTGACGATACCATGCCCTGACGATACCCTACACGGACATACCATGCCCTGACGATACCATGCCCTGACGATACCCTACACGGACATACCATGCCCTGACGATGTCGTGCCCTGACGATGTCGTGCCCTGACGATGTCGTGCCCTGGCGATATTATGCCCTGACGATACCATGCCCTGACGATACCCTACACGGACATACCATGCCCTGGCGATGTCATGCCCTGACGATGTCATGCCCTGACGATGTCGTGCCCTGACGATGTCGTGCCCTGACGATACCATGCCCTGACGATACCCTACACGGACATACCATGCCCTGACGATGTCATGCCCTGACGATGTCGTGCCCTGACGATGTCATGCCCTGACGATACCCTACACGGACATACCATGCCCTGACGATGTCGTGCCCTGACGATGTCATGCCCTGACGATGTCATGCCCTGACGATGTCGTGCCCTGACGATACCATGCCCTGACGATACCATGCCCTGACGATACCCTACACGGACATACCATGCCCTGACGATGTCGTGCCCTGACGATGTCGTGCCCTGACGATACCATGCCCTGACGATGTCATGCCCTGACGATGTCATGCCCTGACGATGTCGTGCCCTGACGATGTCATGCCCTGACGATACCATGCCCTGACGATGTTCATGCCCTGACGATACCCTACACGGACATACCATGCCCTGACGATGTCGTGCCCTGACGATGTCATGCCCTGACGATGTCATGCCCTGACGATGTCGTGCCCTGACGATACCATGCCCTGACGATACCATGCCCTGACGATACCCTACACGGACATACCATGCCCTGACGATGTCGTGCCCTGACGATGTCGTGCCCTGACGATACCATGCCCTGACGATACCCTACACGGACATACCATGCCCTGACGATACCATGCCCTGACGATGTCGTGCCCTGACGATGTCATGCCCTGACGATACCCTACACGGACATACCATGCCCTGACGATACCATGCCCTGACGATACCCTACACGGACATACCATGCCCTGACGATGTCGTGCCCTGACGATACCATGCCCTGACGATGTCGTGCCCTGACGATATCATGCCCTGACGATACCATGCCCTGACGATACCATGCCCTGACGATACCCTACACGGACATACCATGCCCTGACGATGTCATGCCCTGACGATGCCATGCCCTGACGATACCATGCCATGACGATACCTCCTGACGATACTGCGTCCAGATGACGCAGGTGCTGATCCGTCAGGTGAAAGAGCTGCTGCGACACGTGCCGTTCTGCCAAATGCAGTTCAACAAGTTCATCCCGGCGTACCACCACCACTTCGGCCGACAGTGCCGCGTCTCCGACTACGGCTTCGGCAAGCTGGCCGAGCTGTTCGAGGCCGTGCCAGACACCGTACAGGCGAGTGTGCACCGTATCAGAGACCGTACCCTCCCGTGTCGTCCCTGAACTCCCGTGTAGACGCGCGTCTGTATTGTACAGACTGTAACCACTGGAGTCACCACGCCGCCAGGTGGTTACGTAACACCGCACGCCGCACAACGCCTTTGTGAAAAAGTCGCGTTGTGCCACCTGTATGACCTTGTGTGACCTTGACCCCCTGTGACCCGACAGGTGACCTCTGACGAGGACGGCGAGAAGCTGATCCAGCTGACGCGGACCGCTCTGCGCTCAGTGCTCTCGGACCAGCTGGTGACGCTGCTCCAGAACGCGGGGGTACGTGGCCAGCACCCCGAACGGGGGCGATTCGTGGGACGCAGCGCTGGTGACCGCTGCACCGTGGCTGTGTGGCTGGGCTTGCTTCTGGATTGGCCGAGTGGTGCTGTGTTCGCATGCGTGCTGCCGGCGCCATGTTTGTGCCAGCCAGTGGCTTGGGAGCATGCTGCGTAGATCACTTCATACCATCGCGAAATGTGTTGGAACGCGCAAAACGGAACTGAATCAGTCCGGCGTTACCGCCCATGTACATGACGCGGCGTTGCTGGCTCATGCTGTTGCGCAGGACGCGCTCCTCTGCGGCGGAGCGTGCGACTGTGCGACCGTGCTGCCTTGCGGCCGTGCGGCCGTGCGGCTGTGCGGTCCGCACGGGCCGGCTGTGCGGTGTAGCCAGCTGTAGAGCGTCGGCTCCAATCGCAGGTGGAGTCGGTGGGCCTGGAGGAGCTGTGCGCCCTCTTCCTGCGCGAGTTCGGCTACCGGCTCAACCCGACGCTGTACGGCGGCGCCACCGTCCGAGAGCTGGTGCGTGCCGTGCCGCGCTGGTGCCCGTCCCGCCACTGCTGGACTACCGCCGTTCACCGTCGTCACTACCGTCCACCTTCATCACCGTCCACCGCCATCACCACCGTCCACCTTTGTCACTACAGTCCACCGTCCGCCGCCCGGTCCCGTTACAGGAGTCCACTCACTGTCCACCACCGGGTCCCGCTACAGCTGTCCACTCATTGTCCACCGTTTGGTTCCGTCGGGGCTGTGAACAGCTCCGCATAAGGCCTCCTTCCGCACACCCTACACACGTACTCACCCAGGTGGGAGTCACCAGGGCGACTCCCACGTATCCAGGATGGAGTCGCCCTGGTTTGTTTGCCATTCGCAGGTTTTTTCCAACGCAGTAAGACTTCAGAGCCAATATTTTTGTTTTTCCATATTTTTACCAGTACCATACTTCGCTGCTTCGAAAGGGCATGACTACTGCCCTTCTGCGGCCCTGATTGTTACGGAGCCGTGCGGTCGTGCCTGGAGGCTCATGTTGCCGTTCCGCTCCACAGATGGCGCAGCTGCGCTCGGTGGTGCGGCTGGGCGGCGCTCCTGATGCGCCCCGGGTGTTCCTGGTCAACCGCCAGCACCTGCGGCAGGCCGCCGTCAACGTGCGGACCCTGCTCATGGAACAGGTACAGGTACACAGGTACAGGTACAGCGGGACATCGGTCAGCGGGGGGAGGGGGGACAGCAGCGGCAAGACATCGGTTAGCGGTCACGGGGCGTGATGCGTCTGTCGACTTACCAAAGAGCAGCTGAGTGTGGGGCCGAACTCTCTGTGCTGCGGACGGCAGTCGCCAATCGCGGCTCAAGCACGCGCTCACCGGCGCTGCTGCCACCTCCGAGCAGCGCCCGCGTCAGCTGGTTAGTGGACTCCGGCCGCGTCGGTGCCTGCTCCCGCGCTATCCCTGGTGCCGGTGTCGCGTTGGTGCGGCGCGCCGCCTGCCCGGCTGGGGACCTGACCCGACTCCACGCCCGCCGCCAGCCGGGCGGCAGCATGCCGCTGGAGCAGCTGGTGGAGCAGCACGGCCGCCGGTTCCAGCGGGCGCTCAGCCTGGACGCGCTCACCGGCGACCTGCAGCACGTGGTCAAGGTGCGGGAGAGGACAGGCGTGGTCCCGGTGAGGTGGACGGAGCCGCGCCCGGTCACGGGCCCGGGGAGGGTCGCGGTCTGTTAGGGTGATGTTGAAGCGTGGTCCTGCCGCGGCGGGGGGGGGGGGGGTGTCGGGCGGAAGGGGTAGGGAGGCGGGCAGTGGATGGGGGCAGGTGGGTCCTGTCTTGACAGGTGTTGCCCGAGTGACGCCCTGTCGTTCTTCTCTCCTGTTCCGAATGTGTTCCCCCCAAAGGCGCAGACAGTCATCGGACGAATTGCTCATCGTTTGTGGGTGACTGAACTAGTAGCTACTGAACTAAATAACTTTTTCTGACTGAACTAGTCTGATATCCTCGTCGAAGTAGCGAAGCGCCTATCTGTGCGATGAATCACGTGGTGTTTTTGGACGCGAACAGCTCTGGTGGCTTCACGGGAAGAGCAGCCTCTGGCTTCTCTGCAGCTGTGTCTGCTTGAGGCCATCACTGATTGTTATTGCCTACCTCTGGTTTACAAAGGCTGTAATCACGTCACAGCAGGCGACCTGCCTTGATAACATCAGCGGAACCGTCGAGAACGTTGTGTTTGCCGCGCTCAGTCTGTCCCGACGCCGCGCTGTCCACCCGCGCCGTGAGCTCGCCCGACGCCACGTGGTTGGGGCGTGGCCCCTCCCCTTCCCCGCCGGAGTCGGGTCCCTCCGCCGACCGTCGGCCCGCTTGCATCACCGCTCGCTCCGCTCCGCCCGCGCGGCAGGTGGAGGCCGCGTCGCCGGGCGGCGGCCGCGTCGTCTCGCTCCTGCCGATCCAGCTGCTGGCGCGTGACGTCATCCGGCTGCTGCGTCGCCACGGCAACCGTCTGCTGGTGTCTGCGTTCCACTCGGCGTACCTGGCCGAGTTTGGCGTGGCGGCGCGGCCGGCCCAGTTCGGCTTCCATAGTGCGCTGGCGCTGCTGGAGGCCATCGATGACACGGTCTTCCTGCGCGGCAGGGGTCAGTGCAGGACGGGGATGGAGGGGGGTGGGAGGATGTCTAGGTGTGAGCCAGGGGTCAACGCAGGAGTGAGTTGGAGAGGGATGTCTCGGCTGTGCCAGGGGTTTGTGCAGGATGGAGTTCAAGGGCAGTGTATCCTGTCCAGGTGTGAGGGAGGGGAAGGCTCCATTCAGCATCAATCGTCATCCGCCTGGATGGTGGGTCGCGGCGCCGGACAGCGTTTAGGTGCAGCGCCATCTAACAGTGTACATTGTATTTTGATGCCTAGTTTCCCCGTGACTTCGGATAAACTTGGAGAGACAAACTGGTGCAGATTCCAACTGTGTGCTGAATTTGCTGCTGAACGTGTCTTGTGCTTGCTGGCGTTGAAGATGTTGAACGTGTTGTGCCTGCTGGAGCTGTTGCTGAACGTGTGTTGTGCCTGCTGGAGCTGTTGCTGAACGTGTGTTGTGCTTACTGGCGTTGAAAATGTTGAACGTGTTGTCTGCTGGAGTTGTAGATGGTTAGCTCTGTTCGGTTTGGCGTCCATTGTTATTCGGCGCTGTGGGCATAGTTTGGTTGCGCGTATTGCCACATCTTGTCCTTCTTGATTTTGGACTTGGCACTTTGCCCCTGGCGGCGTTGACCGCTGACCCGCGTCCGCGCCTCCGGTGCCGCAGGTGCCCAGCGCTACGTGCACCTGCTGCGGGAGTTCAGCGGCGAGGGGGGCTCGGGAGACGGCCGACCGCCGGCGAAGCAGGAGGCTCGGGCGGCCGGCCGCGAGCCGCCGCCGCCGCCACCGCCGCTGCAGCCGCTAGCCGCCCTACACGGTACGCTCACGCGCTGAACCCTGCGGGGTGTGGAGGTACAACTTGCCGGGGATGTCGGCTGCCGTTTCAATTGTTGACCCGTAGGGATTTGTCGGCACCTGCGTTGTAGCGGGACGTTGGATATGACGTGACATGGCGGTACCTTTTTCAGGCGAGTCGGGCGACTTCGCGCGACGGGCTCCGTCTCCGAGCATGCAGGTATGCAGCTTGTAAATTGAACACGCTCCCCCCTCCCCCTCTCGCTCCTTGCCGTGGGGGACTGCCCATGCCTCTGGACTTCTGTTGGAACCTGACACAGCCTCTGTTCAGACACGCGTGTCGTGTTCTAGTTCAATGAACGGTGCCGTGGTACGGCATGCCCTGTCGCACAGTTGGGCATCAGATGTGTCGTGCTCATGCCTTGTCGTCACAGTCACGCAGTGTTCTGTTGCACTCACTACCCATACCAAGTGCCCAATCTTTCACTGTGATAAAGATAGATAAGGCTGGCTGGGCACGGGCTTGTGTCTTTTCGTGCCTCGCGCTGCATGTTCTCTCTGGCCCCCTGTCGCCGCTCCGGATCTCCGAACACTCCCCCTCCCCTTGATCCCCTTGATCCCTCTGCCTCGATCCCTCCCCATTGATCCCCTCGATCCCTCAGCCTTGATCCCTTCCACGCTCCTTCCGCCTCGATTTCTCCGCCTCGATCCCTCTCTCTCGATCCCTCTCTTTCGGTCACTGTCCCTCGATCCCTGCTCCTCGATCCCTCCACCTCTATTCCCCCCGCGATCCCTTCCCCTCGATACCTCCCCCGAACCCTCCTCCTAGAACCCTCCCCGATTCCTCCCCCACGATCCCTCCCCCTCGATCCCCCCTCGATCCATCCCTCCCCCCTATCCCTCCCCCCGATCCCTCCCCCCTCGATCCCCCTCTCTCTCTCGCTCTCTCTCTCTCTCTCTCTCTCTCTCTCTCTCTCTCTCCTCTCTCTCCTCTCTCTCTCTCTCTCTCTCTCTCTCTCTCTCTCTCTCTCTCTCTCTCTCTCTCTCTCTCTCTCTCTCTCTCTCTCTCTCTCTCTCTCTCTCTCTCTCTCTCTCTCTCTCTCTCTCTCTCTCTCTCTCTCTCTCTCTCTCTCTCTCTCTCTCTCTCTCTCTCTCTCTCTCTCTCTCGCGCTCTCGCGCTCTCGCGCTCTCGCGCTCTCGCGCTCTCGCGCTCTCGCTCTCTCGCGCTCTCGCGCTCTCGCTCTCTCGCTCTCTCGCTCTCTCGCTCTCTCGCTCTCTCGCTCTCTCGCTCTCTCGCTCTCTCGCTCTCTCGCTCTCTCGCTCTCTCGCTCTCTCGCTCTCTCGCTCTCTCGCTCTCTCGCTCTCTCTCTACCTCTCTCTACCTCTCTACCTCTCTACCTCTCTACCTCTCTACCTCTCTCTCTCTACCTCTCTCTACCTCTCTACCTCTACCTCTCTCTACCTCTCTACCTCTACCTCTGTACCTCGCCCTCGGTACCACGATCCCTCCTCCTCGATCCCTCCGCCTCGAACCCTCCTCGGTTCCTCCGTCTCGATCCCCCCGCCTCGGTATCTCCCATTCGATCCCTCTCCTTCGATCCCTCTGCCTCGGTCCACCCGCCTCGACCCTTCCGCCTCGATCCTTCCTTCCTATTCCAACATTCCTGCGGGCTGCATGTGTGCCGTGTGCCTCATCTATGCAGGCTCGCAGCACCTCCGCTGCGCGGCTGTGGGGGCGGGGCGCGATCCGTCTCTGCGGAGCAGGATGGCGTGTGCCCGGCAGTGGCCTAAGGTGCTCCTATGCGAGATGTCGTTTGATCGGCCGGTGTGCGGGGGGGGGGGGGGGGGGAACGGGGCGCGCGATGATCACGGGGCGGAGGAGTGGCGGTCGTCGCTCGTGGCGCTCGCCCCGGCCGCGCCGATCGAGGCTCCGCTCGACACGTGCGGTGCACGCGACGCCCATGCCGGGAGAGGATGCTTTCGCTCACGGGCGGCGCTCGCGGGCGGCGGGCGGAATGATTAGCGGGCGTGAAGTGCACCGGCTCGTATTTCAGCTTTGGGTACACTTGATGGTGCAGTTATTTTTTAAATGTGCCTAGGTTTTTATGAGCTTTTTTCCATTTTGGCAGTTTTCGCAGCTTCTACAGTGCCTGCAGTGTCTGTGGTAACTCATGGATGCGTGGGTGAACATATTGCAACAAGTATCAGATATGGTGAAATAAGCCCACTCATAGCTTTTGGTGAACTTGTAAGTGGAAGAGGCCGTTTTTAGACAGTATAATTTCTGGATTTAGTAAATATGATCCTCAATACGTCATTGCTTGAGTGCGTCATTCCACCTCAAACAAAATTGATCGGAAGCCGGTTGACGGCCGTTATATTTTGAAATCGTGTTCAGGAACGCCAGATAGGAACGAATCGTCAATGTATTTCCTTGGCCTAGGATTTGAATGGCATTGACGTTGCGACATGGATGCTTGGATGACCTTGAAATGGTCCGCACGAAATAGTTCTTATACTCGCGGGTTTGTAGCTTAGAAAACTGGAGGGGCTTAGGCCTCAAGAAAATAGGGCTGTGAATTGCATCGAGTGATCTTCAAGATGGCTGTTTCAGCTCAAAACCCCATACAAATGTGGAACATTTCCTATTTAAGTTTGCTTAGTTTTAGAGCGTCTTTTAGGTGCCCCTCCCCACCCTCGTCCCCCTTGTAGGGCGAAGGTGGTTTAAAACTCGTGTAGGTTGAGCGCTGGCGCTGGTTATTTTGTTTTCATTCAAAGAAATGTGGTGCCTTTGGTTGTCGCGGCCGGTGATTTTTAGCCCCACTGGTCTGTGGTTGAATCTACTGTCGGTAACCGCTCAGTCAGTCAGATCAGTGGTCGAAGCCCGGCTGCGCTGTATACAACAGGGTCATGTTTGCAACGGCAACTAGTGTTTTTTACGACCCGCGCCACAAATTTATGAAAAACAGGACAGTAACTTTGTGGCGGCCAGTGCAGGAAGTCCTGGCAAATAGAACACGATGATTTTTTCTGAGGCGAAATTTTAGCAAACCCGCTTGAACGAAACACAATAAACCTTGAACTTCATACGAAATTCTCGGCTCGGCCTCACGCCCAGCTTCTGATGGCCAGCCTCACTGTCGCTGGACGTGCCGGCCGCTTCCAACGAGCCGCGGGAGAGGGCGGTGCGAACAGGCTTTGTAGCAGATCTCGGCGCGCTGGTTGTATATCACCACTGGCCGCTCGACAGGTGACGCGGAATAAAAGCGCTGTCAGCCCCGGTCCCGGGCGCCGAGTGCGCCGCTGCGCTCCCTCCTGAGCTCGCCCGGCAGGGAGGGTGTCTGTCCGTCTGTCGCTCTGTCCGTCCGCGCTCGCTGGCTGGCTTGTCGCCGCGGCGCTGAGCGGCGCGCGCCGCGTCGTGCCGTGCCGCCGCCAGGTGTACACCGGCCAGCTGGTGACATGGTGCCGCGCCTGGGTGACCGGGCCGCCGCCGCCGCCGCTGCCGCCGCCGCCGGCCGGCGCGCGCGGCTGGTTCCCGCCGCCGCCGCAGCTGGCGCCACCGCTGCTGTCGCGGCCCGCCGGCGTGTCGCCCGTCGAACTGCGCCCGGCCGCCTACGTAACCGCCGCCAGCCCTGTAGCCTCGTAACCGCCGCCAGCCCTGTAGCCTTGTGACCGCCGCCTCTAGCCGGGCAGTCCACGCAACTACCGTCAGCCGTTGTAGTCGCGGAGCCAGCGCCTGCCTGTATGGTCCGGGGAGCCAGTAGGCTTCCCGTGTGTAGCATACGTAACCGCGGCTGCCGGTGTGGCCGTGAAATAACCAGTCCCGTTCGGGCTCTGTAACCGCTGCCCCGGCGTGGTTTGCGTTACCCATCCGCTTGTTCGCTGTGTGACTTGCGTAACCCGCTCTTTGCGGCGCACGTAACCACCGCCACCTGTACGTGGCGCTGCCAGCGTAGCCGCTGCCCTTTTATGCTTTATGGACGCTCCCGCGTTACCGAGGACACTTACGCGTCCTCGGTAGGTGACGTAGCGTCCGCAGCGTGGCTTCGTGGTCACCACGACCGCCCGCAGTGCGGCCGAAGTCACCACCGTCGGTTACGTAGACGCGTCCACGCTAACGTGGACACGGTGTGTTTTAAGAACGACTGTTGGATCTACGCGAAAATCCCGCATGTTTGTCGTAGCTTGCCTCGCGTTGCGCTTCAGAGGAGGGTGTTGGTTCTGAGCGTGCTGCTGGTTCCCCCGTCGCTGCTGTCGGTCATGGTCGGTTTCCACCCCCCACCCCCCACCCCCCTCCCCATTCCTCCTCGCACGCCATGTCGGTCGCCGCCTTGGCTGCGTGTCAAAGAGCCGCGGTTGGCGTCGCAGTTTCGGACTGATCGTCTCGAATAGCGGCTGGACTGTTGGCGAAGTTGGCAACGAGCATGGAGGGAAGCCGTGGGGCGGCCCGTGTCACTGGACACGCTGACTTTCTCTTGAGGCTCAGATTATTTGCGCTCTGGACTTCGCAATTTGTTTGTTTAAGCAGCCATAATACCCTAATCCCTTAAAAAAATCACCAGTGGTGATGACATCGCACTGAAGTTAACCACACCTAGGTCGTGCTAGCGTTCGGGACACTTCCAAGCAGCTGCAGTTAGTTGCAGGCCAAACAACCGGGTGCGGACCGGCTGTTTGGCGCTAAGACTAGTTGCGCAGATCTTGGCATTAGATATCCTCCCCGTTAGAGGCTATCAAGTGAGTCCGTGTGATAACTCATACCGGAGTTAATTGCGTTTCTTTTAATCCGGTATGGCGTCATTTCGCAACCGTTAAGATGTTGTGCCGGCGCGTGTGACGTTACATTTGAGCTTGTTTGTACCGTGGCAATTCTGGACGTCAAACGCTGTCTAGTTGCTACGGTCCAGTCACCGGCGATATTTGAGCGCGGGACCATTTTGACAGCCATTCAGCTGCTGGTAGGCTGCCTGCCTGCCTGCTGTTGGTGCCGCTGATGGGCCGTGCGCCGCCGTATACCTCAGGAGGCGGGCTGTCTGTACCTGGCCAGCCCGCCGGCGCCGTCGGAGCTGCCCCGGCCGCAGTTCAGCTGGCTGCCGCCGCCGTCTCCGCCGGCTCCAGCTCCAGCTCCAGCTCCAGCTCCGGTCAGCGCCCAGGCGGCGGCGGCTGTCAAGACGTCGCCGGGCCAGGGCCAGGCCGAGCGGCGCGCCTCCAGAGGTGAGGCCGGCGAGGGGGAGGGGAGGGGCGGACGGCCGCGGCTGCGGCGGCGCGGTAATGCAGCGTGGGTCCAGGGTGGGGGTCGGGCGCTTAAGAATAGTCAGGTGACTAGAATCTCCCGGCGTGAGAGCTGGGAGAGATTGAC